CATTTCATTCCATATTTTCTATTCTATTCTATTCTATTCTATTCTATTCTATTCTATTCTATTCTATTCTATTCTATTCTTTCCCCTTCGCTTCCCTTCCGTATTTTCTGTTCTGTGGTGTTCTGTCTTATCCTATCCTATTCATTCCCTTCCCTTCCATTATTTTCCATCCCATCCCATTCCATTCTATTCTTGTGGACCAAGTTCCACTTCAATTTTCTTTCACGAGATCTGCTCAGTCCAAAGTCTCTAAACTTTTCTGTCTTAGCCATGGAACTCATCCCAAGTGGAACCCAACTTCCACTTATAATTTGGAAAACTTCCTTTTCTTCATGTATATCATTTTTATTTTATTCAGAGCAAAGTTAATATACAAAACTAAATAAAAATCCAAGAAGTCATTAAACTTATTTCAGCCCTTCCTAGAATCTCTCTGCTGCACTACTTCGCACACTCTTTAAACTTCTATTTTTCTAGCCGTGATCCCAACAAATCCGCTAAATGAGAATGCCGGGTTCCCTGCCTAAGCTGGGGGGGTTGGACTAGAAGATCTCCGAGGTCCCTTCCAACTCCATTGTTCTGTTCCGTTCTGTTTAGCCCTACAATTTTGGGAGAGGCCACCACAACTGGGGCGGGGTGGGGTGGAGACCCTCATTTTAAGAACAGGCTTTGCAAGGTCAGGATTAAAACAAATAAATACAGAACGGAGAGCTCCCCTCGTCAATCCCTTCCCAAATCCAATTTAAATCATTCTCCCCAAAGCCTAATCTATATCCATAATTATATCATTTGGTACAACAAGCTTGTGAGCGGTTTCCCACAATTTATGTAGATTAAAATTCATGGGTGCCATACTACCGATTCTGTATTATGAAGATTGATTAAGACAGCTGATGCAGTGATTAAAAGAGTGTGCATTTACTGTTGCAATTAATTAGGCATTCAGACACAACAATAACCACAATAACCACAAGAATTCACTGAGCTGGCATTCTTCACTTAGGGGCAGAGGGTTCTTGGCTGCTTTGACAAGGATTTTTGACTCGGGCTGTAAAAAGGGAACATAGAGTCGTAAGGGACCTCGGAGGTCTTCTAGTCCAGCCTAGGGATTTAAAATTATGAGTTTGGTGGTCCATTTTGGTTTGAGGTCCAAAAAGGTTGGCTCCCCCTGATCTAGTCCAATCCTTTGCTCAAGCAGAAGATCTTAGACAGAATAACAGACTAACAGAGTTGGAAGAAACCTTGGAGGTTGTCAGGTTGCGAGTGCAATTTACAACCTGCTGAGATGCCCGGACAGCTGAGCAGCGCTGCGTGCAAGTGCGCAGCAGTTGAAAAAGCCCTTTTTTCCCCCTGTTTTTTTCGACTGCAGCTGTGTCACGTAAAGCAGCTGCGGTTGAAAACGCAGGAAATAAAGATCAGGTAAGAGCCCGGGTGGGCGGGTGGGCCAAAACAGCAACAGACATATAGAACCAGTTTCTACGTTTGCTCTCTGTTTGCTGCTCTTCAGAGCAACCGGTTCTACAGAAGCGGACGGAACCCGTAGAATCCCGTCCCTGCTGACAAGCCTAAAATTTCAAAATAATTTCAAATGATTGAAACCGTAAAAACATCCGCCTAAATAAATCCATGTAAATATAAACGAGAGCTGGGATTAATCTGCTAATAATGAAGCCAAGTAATGGTGGCCTAGTGGTGAAGGCGCTTGCTTCCCGCTTGGAAGGTTGAGAGTTCAATCCTAGGTAGCAGCAAATATTTCTCTCTTGGAAGAAGGAAGCGTCTGCTGTGAACTCTGTGTAGGTGTCTGGAAGGGCATCCGGCCAGTAAATGCTCAGCTCCATCTAGTCGCCCTGACTCCACCCTGAGTTAAGGGATTCCAGGGCCATAAAGGCAGCAAATCCTTCTCTCTTAGGGCATAAAAAAGAAAGCATCTGCTGTGAACTCCAGATAGACAACAGGAAGGGCATCCGGCCAGCAAATGCTCAGCTCCGTCTAGCTTCCACTGCAGTGTTTCTCCGCTTCGCCTCTTCGGAGACGCGTGGACTTCAACTCCCAGAATTCCCCAGCCAGCGAAAAGTATCGGGTCAGAATCGAGAGGTTCCCAAGGCCAAAATGTTGTCCTACCTGGGTAAGGATGGATGCCGTTGGCAAAGACGGCTTCTGCTGCAGGTTGCCCATTGGCCTGTGGCGGGAGACCAGTGAAACCATTCACCCCAATGGGGGACGGGATGCTAGGCACGGCTGGTGCAGTGATGCCTGGAGGCGTGCTGCCACCTGGAGGGCGGGAGAGGAAAGGCAGAGCGTCAAATCAAGTGCCTCCCTTGGTTTGGGAGCATACAGGGAGTCCTCGACTTACGGCCAGGATTGAGCCCACAAATTCCACCACTAAGCGAGACTGTTGGGTTAAGTGAGCTTTGCCCCCCCCCCGCCAACTGTAAGTAAATCACCGTTGTTAAATGAGTAACACATTCGTTCAGCAAATCTGGCTCCCCCACCAAACGACGTTGCAACCATCGTTAAGTGTGAAAAAAAGCCATCCTAAATGAGGGTTGTTTTCCCGTCCCCGGTACGGCTGAAACTTTGGTCACTAAATGAAGCGTTGTAAGTCGAGGACTACCCATGTTGCCACGCCTTGTTCGGCCGCGTCGGCGCTGCCCCCGCTTTGCCCCCGCCCCCCCGGGCGCTTACCTGAGGTGGGTGTCATTGGGGTGGCCGCCAGCCCGTTCATGTTGAGGGCCGCCATCTGCTGCATCTGGGCCGCTGCGAAGGCCGCCATGGGGTTTAGGTAGCCGCCTTGCGCCACGGAGGCCATGATGGCGGCCTGTTGCTGCATCAGCTGGAAGGAAGAGAGCAGGGCAAAAACATCACGCAGTCGCGGGAAGGGCAGCCGGGCAAGAGGGAGGGGGAGGAGGAAGAGGGGAGCACCCGGGGAGGG